AGGATAAATTGAATAAATTATCTATAAATTAATAAAATCGATGCTCGGCCTTCACAGATTTGCAGTAATTTATCTCATTTTACCCGTACCATTTTTTTATTTCCTTTTTTCTTTCCTTTCTCGTGTTTTTAGTTGTTCATTAAACGCATTATAACTTTGATAATTTTTAAATAAACAATTTTAAATTTTAATTTTAAATAGGATTTTCAACTCTAAGGAGTACACACATTTGTTAAATATTATATATTATTTATATTATACATTATTTATAAATTAATATAAGGAGAATAATTAATTTCTGCTAAAAATGACGAACGGAAACTTTATAGTTTTATTTTGCTTGACTGATAAGATAACCTTCTACTGGAGAAGTAATGTTGTGTGCTATCAGTCGCTGAACCGGTATGACTATCTCTGAAATGAAATGAAACAATATCGCATTTCCATTAATATTTTATAGATGCGATCCGGATTTAAATCTGGTAAGTTGATCAAGAAATTCACCAGATTTTTAAATTATTTTATGGAAAAGAAATTAAAAAGGAATAATATGATTTGCGATTTCATTCTTCAGATTCCTACCCGTTTTGCATTAAATTTTATAACTTTTAATTTTCAGAACAGATCCCATGAAGAATTCGTTGATAACAAAAAAATCATACGAAATTTATAAAATGAAGCTTATCATTAAAAATAATTACCAGTTGACGAATGCCGTAATTTTGCTGATTCTCGCACTTCTTTGGCGGGAATTGAAGGTGAAAATGCATGAGCAGTGTGGGGAATTGAGCGAACAAAGTTAGCTGAGGCAGGCGACTTAATGGCGACAGGACTGCTCACCACTGAGTCCGGAATGGGTGGAGGACTTCCATGCGCACGACTTCCGGGTCGTGATGCAATCGGAGCAGATGCGGCATTCGTTTTTGACTGAAAATCTCCTTAAACCTATTTCATTTACAAGTCAGCTTTATATATATATATTTGCAAAATCTCCCAAAAAAGGATTAAAACAACGGTTTGTCATAGTAAAGAAAAGGCGATATTAACTGTTAACTGACATTTTTATGTTTCAATTGTCTTTGGATTAAAACTTTTATAAAATTTGATATACCTTTCCTCTCAGAACGCTATTGCTTTTACTCGATGGTACTCGATTAACTGGTGCTATAAATAGATTTATGGCATAGTAAGAATATAAATATGCAATACAATATTGTAAATTAATCAATAAAAATTAATAACATATTCATTCACCATTTTAGAGTTTTAAATCCATGGAAAGAGGACTAAAATCCATCATTGGAATGCAATTTTGGTTTAAAATCTTACAATATTCGCAAAATATATGAATGAAGATTTTTGGAATTATTCTAACTTTCACTGCGACTATTAGTCGAGCCATCCACCTGATGGCGTATTGCTCGACTGGAGGCTCGGGAACTCTTCTCAGGACTTGATTGTCGGGATTGCGTAATTTTGCCTTGCCGAGAATCTACAGCGGCTACAGTCGCTGCTGCAGCCATAGCTGCTACTGCAGCAGAAGTTGTCGCTCTAGATATTTTCTGAAATTATTGGAATTCAACTTAATGAACTAGAATTTCATATTCAAAAAATCCATAAATGAATTGGTGCTGGGCTGTCTTTAGAAAATTTTGTAATTAAAAAATAGAAATGCGAAAATCATTTTTCATTTTATGCCGTATGTTAAGAATTCTTCAAAATCTTCTAATAATGAATCGCAGCAGAAGTAGTATGGCGTATGTTAAGAATTCTTCAAAATCTTCTAATAATGAATCGCAGCAGAAGTAGTATGGCGTATGTGGGTGGTATTGGTGATTAATTTGTACTTCTGATTTTCTGGCGAATCCCTACTTAAGAGCCAGTAGAACCAAGATGAGTGTAAACATTAATGAACTGAACAGTTCTTTTCTTGATTGCAATAAATAGGAAATTTTAAGAATTGGTACGATGCAAAGCTAAAATGAATTTTTGCTTAAATTAACCTGATTTTTAGGAGTGGCACTCCTCGAATTTACCATTGAGAATCCAGAATCCATTGCCCTTTGCACAAGCATTTTCATCCGTTCGAAAATCCATTGATCATCCTCTTCACCAGGAATCTGTCAATGTAGAAAAATAATAATTGTATGAATTCAATAATAAAAGTCGTAATCATTTGAAAGAATCAAATCTTTACGAGATGGAGCAATTTTTGATCATCAAAATATTTCGCGCTAGGTAATGTTTTTTGCTTGAACTCTCTTATACGAGCATCAATCATCTCAACTCCTAAACCACGGTTCTCCATATGCTTTCTCAGCGTTGCTTCATCGTAATCAAGAATTAGAGCCATATTCACAGGTTTCACCTAGAAAACAATTTATAGATTAAATACAACTACAATGCATCACAAATGTATGAAATAAGCTTTGAACTTGGTCGGCCCATTAAAATAAGA